CTGGGAACGCTGCACAACAGCGAGGAGCACATCATGTACAAGGCAATACAAGACCTGGCTAGGGAGGAGGTGCGTTTGCCGCCGCGTGTGCATATGTCTTGGAGTCTTTATCTACGACTGTCTCTAGTCTGAACGTACGTGTGCGGAGGTGGATGTATCCGGACACGATATACACCGGCGGTACTGCTGCAACGAATGCGGTGACAGGGTAGTTACTTGACACGTCTGTATGTTTGAGTGCCGTGCTTGGAGCAGTTTGTTAGCCGACGCAGGGGCAGTGATAAAAACAAACAGCGAAGATGACGGACGCGTCGTAGGTGGCAGAGCACTCGCGCACATCGACGACAACGTGACAATGACGACAACCTTTTGCGATGTCAACAGCAACATTACAACGGCAACGATGATGGCAGGTGACTTGCATGAGCCTGAAGCAGCTCTACGTCAACGGGAAGAACCCGGAGCCCGCACATCGCCTGGCCAACGCGCAGTTCCTGCACAGAGAGCTGCCGGTGCGGCTTAGCCAGAGGGCGGTGGAGCTCATGAACCTGCCGCATGGCCTGTCTGACGTGCCCGGCGTGCAGCAGGTGTGTGTCCGTGTGCCTGTGTGTGTTTTCAACTATTAGTCATCGCCGCGCTATCCGGCTGAACAATAGAGACAGATGTCTGTGTTGCGTCTAGTGTGGTCTTGGTGTGTAAACATGTGTGTGTGTATGATTTTCCCCCTTTTCTCGGCGTTTTCTGCGCGTACAGGGTTTTGACTATTGGTCAACCGTCGGTCTGAGTGAGTGGGACATTAACGTTAGATTTGGTTCCTCTTTCTTAGGGCTCTTTGTGGCCGGCGCGTGTGCGTACAACCTCAAGTTGTGCCGTACGGTTTAGGTGTGCACCGCCGGCGCTAGCCGGACACCAAGCCTAGATCTATTGGTCCCAATTCTTGGCGGGGCGAAAGCGGAAATTTTCGGCAAGCAATCGTAGTTGTTGTGTGTGGCAGGTAAACATGTTTTACTCTCCGCTGATTTTCGTTTTTTGTCCTGTCTACATCCGTCGGCTGTTGCTCCAGTGATTTGGGCATCTGTTTTTGGGCGAAGCCATGTATCTGTCTAATCGATATGTAGCGACGTTCTACATCTATCTCGGAAGCAATGTTACTTCATTTCTAGCCAACCGCTCCTACGATTTGCGGGCGTGATGAATCCATTGCGCTGGTTGTCGCGACGACAAGAAGTCTCTCCCTGGCTCTCTTGCTCCCCCCCTGCCTACTGTCTTGCAGTACACACCACGGACGGGGGCGAAAGGAGCAATCTGAAGGGACGAATACTTTCACTGCTGTTCTGTCTCTCTCTCCCTCTCTCCCTCTCTCTCTCTCTCACACACACCCCTCTCTGTATAGGTCTACAACTGCTACGCTCGCTATGCGTGGGAGCTGTTCTGCGCGCCCCTTCCGACCACGCCGCAAGAAGAGTATAACTACTCGTGTCTGCTGTCTAGCCTTCTGCTGGACGGCCAGAGCATTCCAAGGTGCGTGCTGTGCTTGCTCTTGCTGTCCTTCTTTTCCGTCACATTAATAATAATAGTTTCGTTTGTTGCTGTCTCTCCGGGCTGGATTGTTGTTGAGTTCAATCCCGTTGTTTTGGGGGAGGATTCACCCCTTGCTCCCCTTGCTCTCTCTCACGCCGCCTGGGTTCGCTTTGTTGCCAAAGGGTGTGTGTTTTAGCGGCCTCTGCTTGAAAGGCTTTCTTTGCCGCCGTGTGTACGTTCAAAACAACAACTCGGGGGTAACTTCATGGCCAGCTTTGACGGCGATAAGTACAAGTGCCTCCCGCTGTTCGCTGTTTTGGCACGCCTGTTTTGGCACGCCACTTGCGTCCATGCTCTTGTTGTCCCTTTCCGGCGTCGACACGCCCGAGGCACGCACTCACGCGGCGTCTGCCCAAACACGACAGAACATAGAAAAAATACATTGTTTCCACATGATAAAAAAAAGGCGTTCTTGAGAAAAACAAGGTTTCGAATACAGAACCCAACCCCCAACCGATGCGAGAAAAAGCTGCTGCCGTGGATGATGATGCTACAAGTTTTACTGGAACACGAAGCAGGGCATGTGCTTCGGACGCTATCCATTCACATGCCAAATCAAATAACCTCTCGTCGGCAACCGCGAAAATAGGGCCTTGTCGATAGGGCTGCAGGACTTCCACAAGCAAGACGGGGGAGGCTTGGGCGGCGGTGGCGGCGGAAGGGGGTCACGCTCATCGGATGCAGATGTCGACCCTGCCGTGCGGCTGGACATCCAGGAGGCCATCTCGCGCTTCTATACCGGCCGGATAGGCGTCAGGTTTTTGATAGAGCACCACGTGTCTACCCTTCCCCCGGTGAGAGAGAGAGAGAGAGAGATAGAGATGGAGAGGGAGGGAGAGACAGACTGGGAGATCTGCTGTGGCTTATGTTGTTGGTGGTGCTGCTTCCTGCTTTCCGCGCGCGGCGGTCACAAACATCGCGACGTTACAATAGAGGTTGCGGACGGTGTTTCACTTTCTCGTCGGATTGCTATCGCTATTGCTTGCCGTAGTCGTGCCGTGGGATGCCGGTTGTCGCGATGGACCCTTTGGTAACACCCGTCCCATTCCAATATATCCCACATCCCATGGATCTCGTCCGTGCACCCCCCGCCCTGCATACCACGCCACCCCCCCGTCCCGCCATGCATCGTGTTCCTTGATCATCCCCACCCCTACGCGTTTTCCGTCGCAAAACCCATCCCGTCGCGCGCGCGTTTTTGTTTTGTGCATGCAGTCGCGCTGCCGGCAGGGATGGTCGGGCATAATCCAGTCCGCGGTGTCCCCGTCCCTGGAGGCCAAGTACACGGCGGCGGCGGTGCGGTCGCTGTGCATGAGACATCTCGGGGCGGCCCCCGAGGTCCGCATCTTCGGGAAAGACGACGCCACCTTCACCTACGTGCCAAGGTGCCTTGTTGTTGTTGTTGTTGTTGTTGTTGCGAAGTACATGGCATGCATGGATGGCCCCTCGTTGCTGTATGTGTACCCGCACACCTACATGCCGAGGTGCGTTGTTTTTGTTGTCATCGTCGTCGTCGTTGTTGTTGTTGTTTTGTTGTCGTTGTTTTTGCAAATGCTATGCATGCGTGCTGCCTGATTGCTGTAGGTATACCAGCACAAGATGACACACCCACTAGAGACGGTACCACGCACCCCCCACCGAAAAAACTGCCACTCGTTGATGTATGACATTGTAGAGGCTAACCCTCAGATCAAGAAGAAGCAGGATGGCAGAAGACAGATTTGACACGCCCCACACCACACCACACCGGGAGATGACTTGTGACTTTGAAACGCTAAGAACGTTGTTATATGACGGGTGTGTTCTCTTGTGTGGTATGCGGTAGACTCACTTACGTGACCTCCGACACCCATACAAGCCAAGGGTGGGTGTCGGCGCCTTTCCTGTCTGTAGAACCCCCACCGGCTCTATTTGTTGTTGTTGCGATAACGCTGATGACGGAATTTTGTTGCTTTTGCTGGGCGTCCTCGTCGTCTCTTTCCGACATGCACATGCACATGCACCTGGGCCGGCCACCACTGCTGTAGCCATCTTGAGGTAATGCTGTCGGAGCAGCTCAAGAACGCCTGCCGCGCCGTCGTGCAGAAGCACCACCCGGCCTACAAGTGAGGATTGGTGTGGAAACCCGTGAAAGTTCAATAGCCTCGAGGCATTCGTGCTTCACACGGACGGTGTGTGTGCGTGTGTGTGTGTTTTTTTTTTTTTTTTCTAGGACGGTAGGTTACGACAGGTTTTGCTGTGTTGATTGTGCGGTTTTCGGAAATATAGGGACCATTGTGGTGTTCGCGCTTGTATCCGATGTGGCCCTTGATGTTTTCGAACTAGTTTACTACTGTTTTTTTTGTTTGATTTTCCTGCCCTGCCCTGTCCGGTCCTGTCCTGTGTGCGATGTTTGTTTGTTTGTCCCTTGGTACGTGCGCATGTGTAGATCGATGACCGCCCTGGCCGGCCCCATGTCCGACTGGGGCAAGAAGGAGTGCTCGACCGTCAGGGAGCAGGCGCTCGCGGCGCAGAGTTGGTCGGACGGCGGTCCCCAGATGCCTCCCATCAAGGTGCGTGAGAGAGACACAGACAGACAGAGAAGAGACCAGAAGAGAAGGGAGAGGGAGAGAGGACGAGAGTCTATTTGTAGCAGAACTCAACCCGGGGCGATAGAACGGGGGGCCGGTGGTTGTGACAGGATACGGGATGGGTCGGCCCCCCGAATATGGAGTGTGAAAGGGGTATTAGGTATTAGATAAGCGGAGAAAGCGAGCAACGGGCGAGGGTGCAATTGTCAAGAAAAGGATTGAAGAGACTCGGTGACCACGTTGTGTACCTCCCTGAATCACTCCACCTCGCTGTCTGTCTGATCTGTCTGTCTGTCTGTCTGTCTGTCTGTCTGTCTGTCTGTCTGTCTGTCTGTCTGTCTGTCTTGTCTGTCTGTCCAGGTGACGGTGGCGATGGGCAAGGCGGATGTGACCATGAAGATCGCGGACGAGGGCGGAGGGGCTTCCCGCACAGAGATGGAGCAGCTGTGGACGTACTACTACACCACGGCCAACAAGTTTCTAGTCGGAAACGCAAATCTCCCGGTACGCTTGACGGCCGGCCCCTTTTCGATGAACGTGTTTTTTTTTTCACCTAGCACGAGAGGCAAGCATGGCACAACATCTCGAGGCGTGCAGTGGGGAGGGGGGGGCATAGTCTCATGTTTTGAATGCCTTAGCGGTCAGACCGTTGACCACGCGCCCTCGAGAGGACGGAGCATTTAGCGTTTTCCCCACAGGACCGATCACCGATGGCCAATCGTCCCTTCCTACTTTGCCGAAGGTGGCTCGTGCAGTGGGCGGGGGTCACACGGATGGCCACTTGGCTCCTCGATAGAGGCGTTTCGTAGGTCATGACAAGATTCCGCTGCTGACGATCAGCAGATGGGATGGTTTCCGACATGATGCAACAACTTGTAGACCGCTGCTGTGGCTCCCTTCCTGAGACTCGGAGCACCACAACCAGCGCCTCCAATACCACCGTCACTTGGCACGCCCCGCTCCCACTCCCCACCCCTACCCGAACCCCTGAACACGGCTACCGTCACGGTGGCCACTCACAGACCTATGGTACTTAGCAGTGGCCAATATTCGTAGTGCAAAGAAGCGCCGGAATGCGGTTGGCTGTGTTTCGCACCGAAAATGCGGTAGAACCAAACACCAATATGTAACCGTGCCCCCCCCCCCCCCCATCCCCAACTACCGCTTAACCTAAAAAGGTCCCCCTGAGGCAACCCCAGGCAAGGACG